TTTTCAAGTTCTGTATCACAGAATTTCAGGTGATTTATTGCTGGCCACATTAGTCATTCTGAGCTCATGCTGGTTTTGTCCCTGACAGTAGAATTGCACACTAGAGATATTGTTTGCTCTTTTACTGATTTCAGTAGTAAATTACCTCAATAGTGTAAAGTCTTTTGGAAGGCTTTGAGCAGAGTGCTGATCATTCTGCTTTACTGGAAGACAGGTATGTTAGATCTGTGGTTGTTGCCCCTGGAAAACTCCATTAATTCAATATTCAAGTTTCTCTGAACTAAATCAACTACCTTCCTAGTATTTGTAATAAAGCCATTCAGGACTGATTTGCATTGCTATGATTTTAGCAATTTAAATGGCTGTGTGACATAAGAGAGAGGGAACTCATGCCTAGATGATGTGTTGTGTCCACTTTTGCAGACAGAGACATTGCGTGATCCATGGGTGGCTGAGCCAGGAGCCACTGAAGGGTCTCCAGGCTCCATGGCGCTGCCATAGCAATGCAGTGCAGTTCTGGGCTGCAAAGGTGAAGCTGGCTGTGACTGGACAGGGTTGCTTGGTTCAGAAATCCCTTGCTTATGTTATATGAAAATGGAATTTAACTTGTGTATACATCTTATTAGCTCACATGATAACTCAGAAACAGGGAAGTAGGAATTCATTACTCTAGAGGAGCCAAATCCTGATGTCCTAAAAGCTGTTTTGCTTCTTTTGGTGGTTTGTGTTCCCTGTTGCTTGTACAATCCAATGCTTTCTATATACATACCTGATTATTGCAGTTTAAGCCTTACTTTTATATCTTCCTAGTTAAGTAGCAGGACCTGATTTTTTCATTTAAGAAAAAAAATTATGTAGGGGAAAGTAATGGTAGCACAAAATGGAAAGGCAGCATACACACATACAAAGAAATGACCAGTTTATGAAATGCGTAGAAAATCTTCCTCTCTTTACTGTCATGCTTCATAAGCTCTCAAAAACACATAATGAGAAACAAAGACCTCTTTTTGCTGTGCCTCTAATTTTTTCACTGCATAACATGACATTTTCAGATGTGCACATAGAAAATGAAACTAAGTGTTTTCAATGAGTTATCCCTGATGACCAAGTGTTTATTCAACTACTTATATCTTGTTGGCCTAGATAACCTTCACCTGAGGCTAGCATCTGTTCGCTAATTTGTCACCTTTTCTTTTTCTTCCCCTAAGCTGTTTTGACACGAGAAGCTTTGCAAGCTCCATCTCAGGAAGCACCAGCAGCAATATAAAATGCAAGGAAAACAATGTAAAGTGAAGCTTTGGGAAAATAGAGTTGTACAATATGGCAATGGTTAGTGGCTGGATGACAGCCATCCTTGATGATATAAATTTCTGTAGCATGTGCAACTGCAAAGAACAAAAGAGTTAATCAGCAACAATGTAATATATATCAAGTGTTACTGTATGCAAATATGTATTGAAGTTGTTGTCATGAAAAATGTAAATTACTCATTTTAGGTTCATATTCTGTTGTTAAGTGACAGGGAAAATGAGAAATGCACCCAGCACTCAAATAATTGTCCTGGTTGTGATACTTGTAGCTTTTTACAGAGAGGAAAATGTAATCCAGATGATGAATAAAAATAGCACCTCCTCACATAAATGAAGCACATAGTAATAAATGTTTTGCTTCTGTTCTCTATTTTTAATTTCCAGTATGACAGGGAAATGCAGCTTTTTTCCCACTCAGCTTTATAGAACTTATTAAAGAAGTGAGAGGCTTTTCTAATAATTCGCAAAATATAGTTTGTGTTTTGTCTTGGAGGTACTTTGTTCTAACTTTGCTACCCCAGCACTGCAATAATTACAGTATGCTGCCGTTGCAGAGTGGATAGGGAACTCTTCCATCTATCCTGCTTCATCCTGCACTGCCTAAGTGTGCTGGTCTCTACCAGTGAGGTGGGAAGAGTGCAAGGTGGAGGATGGAGTTGTGTCTTCAAAGCATGCAAGAGGTGGCAGTCTGGAAGCCTGGCCTTGCAAAGAAAGGCCAGGTCTCAAAAGTTCTCTCAGTTAACATCTTGGGTTTTCATGTACTTTTCTTTTTTTTCTTTCCTGAAGAGAGCAGTCCAGAATAGCGTACCTTGCATCTTGTCATGACTGGTTTTGTGCAGGTGCAGTTCTGAACTCCAGTTCTCTGTACTATGAAAGCTGATGGGCTAAATATCTGTTCTTCCATTTTGCAGTTTACTGTACCTGGTTGCAAATGAACAATTTCTTTTTTTTCCAGTAAAGCTCAGTAGAAGCACTGCAAATGCTATCCTTTAGTCCTTGTTTTGTCAGTGTTTTATGAACTTCATCCAGCAAACTGGAGGCTTTTATTTCCTGAGATGGGAGATGAGCTAGTAAGAACTGACCACTGCTTATATCAATAACATGAACACAATTCTGTGATATGTGCAGATTTTTTGTGATATCATGGCAAATGCACACACTTTCATGATTACTGGAGTTTGGGTAAAGCATGCACTTTGCATTCTGGGATTCTTTGTGTGCAAATATGAGAGCCAGTCCTTTTGCTTGAAGTCCTTTAGTCTCTTCCTGCCGTGGATGTGCTGAACAGAGGTTATCTCAGAAATGTGCACCAGGTTGGCCTTTGGGCCTGCAGCAGTTTTTCGTGAGGGTATGGCCCAAAGTGGCCTCTGCAGAGAGGGAGGTGTATGTGTGTGCGTACGCCAAGCAACTGAGCTCTGGTTTCCTCTGGAAAAGGTGGATCCAGCTTCTTGCTTCTCTCAGTCCCATTCTGGGTTTATCTTTGTCATTTATAATGTCATCTTCGTGCTTATTTTTAGTTTCTAGCCTTTCTCTGTTGAACTGTTTTTACATTTTAATTGACTAAATCAGGAGACTTGTAGGTGATTAATATTTTCCCTCTGCAGCTGCATCATCTAGAACAGGCATAAACCTTGCCATGCCTCATTTACTTCCAGTTCCTTTTCAAACAGACGTGCACTGTTCCTGGACCTTCCTGTCTTTCCTCACCTCCTGTCAGTGTGTGTTGTACCTCTCACTGGATGAATTCGTGTGCCGGCTGTGCATCTGTATTTCATGATTTTATTTGTGCTGACAGAAGTAGTGTATGAAACCTTCCTACATCATCAGTAACAACAGTGATACTCATGTGACAGCTTTTGGCAGGCTGAGTCCTGAATTGTGGTAACACTTTCAGTACTGCTCCCTGATAAATGAGGGTCTTCAACAAATGCATAAGAAGATTGATCTCCATATCTGGGACATTTGGTCTTGAGGAGTGAAATAAGATTACTATAATTTTTCTTTAATTTTTTCACAGATGAAAAAAACTACTTGGAGTCAGGCAGTTATGAAGTAGCTCTTCCTGCTCCTTTGTGTACTATATCTTATGGATGAAACAAAAGTCAGTTTTGATATGCTCCACCTATAATTCATCCTGAATGCTAATGATTTTATTGTCATGATTTTCCCTTGTCCCAGCAGATCAAGATTAGAGATGTTTTACTATGTCTAGATATAGTTTAAATGGCTAAAGGTCATGTGCTACAAATTACATGTGGTTTCTTCAGAGATATGAGCGCAGCACAGTGCATTGTTCTTCTTTATGCATTTGTGTAAGATACAATTGTCCACTGATGCTGTTATGATACATTTTTCAGAGTATGGGAGAACTTCCTTCACATTGAGCAAAACAATATGTTTATAATTTAGTGAAGGATTACATTTTAGGCTTTGCATATGCATTTCAATTTAAAAAGTGTTGCTCTCTGTCCAAGACTGCCCAGCTACAACCAGCATTTCTGAAACTGAGGCATTTGTTAATCCTGTGGGACAGTTGCAACTTGTCAGTTTTTATAAATTGCTGTCTTTATGACAGGAAACTAGGAGGGGCAGAGTCTTGCATCTGAATATAACAGCAAGGAGAAAATAGGGACATAATGACAGATGTGTCCCCAAGTCACTGTTCTCTATGGTGGAAGCAACACCCAGAGCACGGCTCTGCTGAAAAACTGGATGAAAGCCATGAGAACTCTTTAAGCATCCGGTAAATATTTTGCCTGGGTAAAGAGAAGACCTCCTGCAGGACAATTAAAACAGTTTTTTTTATTTGTATTGTTTCTGTTCAGTGCTTTCTAAACACAGTAACTATTTTTATATCTTTTGTGATTGTAATAAAAAGTATTCTTTACTTTTAACTGAACATATCTGTTGAGAATGATATGAGGATGAATGGCAAGACATTGTCAACACAGTAGTGAGTCATACAGGGGGGTTCAGTCATGCTTGTAGCATCCAGCACCCTCAGGTGAGATTGGGATTCCTGGAAGGTTTCCAGGTGGTCCATCCCTAAGCAGCACAGAATGGCTTAAGAGCTTGTGAGGCAAAGTGTACCTCCTGGTCCAAGTGTACCAGGAGGTACAGCTTCCACTGAGTTTGTATTCTCTTCATGGTTGAATTGCTGATGTAAATTATCTTTTAATACAACCAGGAGTATTGAGGCATGTGTCTGGAGGGCTATAACTCACACCATTGCTTTCAATTGTCTTTGCTTATTCTATAAAGATGATAAGTTAAGGGCTAAAGTTCAAGGCTGGTACAAAATGTTTAATGTCGTGCAAAAAAAGCAATAAAAATACATAGTTTGTCTAAATGCAATAGTTTTAAAATTCAAAACACTATAAAATAAAACTTCTAAAATATTCTGAAGATTACATTGTTGTTTTTATTTTGTCAGTTTTGGTTTTTACTACTAGAAAACAGTCTGCAATTGCAGACTGCAATTGCATTGGCCAGAGCAAATACTTTGTCCTATATGTTAAATAGCTTGATGAAATGGGAAAGAGAAATAGACATTGCTTAGTCCTTTGCAAGGCCTGTAAAGCTCAAATATTCCTTATGCAGCAGATGCTCTAGCTGAGTATTATGAATTGCACTTGTAAAGCTCACTCTCTAATAGATGTCGCTCTTTTGTTTCCCTCTACTCTTTTGCAGCAAGTGACCGGCAGAAGTTTTGGTGAGAAAGATTTTCGTTCTGGATTAGAAAACGGCATTCTTCTGTGTGAGTAAGTAATGCTTACAGTTTTCAGCCTTGAAGACAATCTTGACTAAAGTAGAAAACAACCTTAGCTAGTATGTTCTATTGTTGATTTCCTTTTGAGAGTTTTGACATCGCACATAGTGGTATTTCACTGCAGTACAATTTCAGTGCCAAAGCTATTGTTATGGTGAGAGTTGAAATGTGGTTTAAAGAAAACAGGTTTTATGAAGTGCTTCCCTCACTCCATCCCTGGTTCTTAGCTGAGCTATGTAAAACAAAAAAATATTATGTTTGTTTTTTGGTTTCCTTTTATTTAATGTTGTTAACCACAGATTGGCAAACGGTGTTCCACACCTGCCTGTGGATGTCTCTGCCACAATGAGGCGTTTTGGACCAACTCCAAGTCTGAATGCTGTCAGGAGTTAGCCATGTGAATACCATCAATACACAGCTGCTTTAATAGTTTCTGGAAAGGTTAGGTATCCTCTAAATTTTGCCTAAAGGTGTGTTTCAATGACGTGTTTTGTAATTTTTGGATGAGAGACACGAGTTAGCTTTTGCACATTTCTCTCTGTAGTTCTAATGGCTAGTTTTTAGGAAGAGTCTTCCAAAACCTTGTTAAGGTTTACATGCCAAAGCTGGTGACTTCTAAGAGGAATTTGGAAATATACCCTAATGCCCTTAGCCCTGTGAAAATCAGGTTGTCAGGCATTTGGGAGAATCGGTTGATCTGAATCACCTGTATGGACCAATTTCTTTCCCCGGATATGCAGGATTGTCTCTGAAGTTGATAAAAGCTCTCTTTGCACACCAGAATGATGAAGCTTGTGCAAAACTGAATCCATACTTATGAAGGAGATCTCCTGAGATGTGTAGCTGGACAATTGCAGCTATTGGTAAAGTTTTATACTCTTCCAGGTACTTGAACTTGGAAGCTGTTTTCAGCAGTAGAGTTGAGTTAATACCCTGTAACTCAGCTCTAGGTAGCTTACCATAGATCTGAAACCTACTTGTGTAAATACTGTTATATGTCTCACTGGTGTCATTAATCAGAAAGCTTGAACTTTAGCTTTTAAAGGTGAAAAAATATAAAGGAAATGATGTGATCTATTTTGATTGCAGTTGCGTGTCTTTGCTGAGGAGTGGCTTTGGGAGGAGGGAAGTAGTTGTTATTGTTGATCACAAGTTGTGTAACTCAGAAGGAGCATACCCTCTTTGTATTTAAGGGTTGCTTCTCACACAAAATCTCTCTCCTCTGTGTGTTGAAGGGAAGTGATGTGTGCTGAATCACTTCTCAGCGCTCTTTGAATGTTAAGGTTGAATTGTGTTGCATGAAAAGCAAGGGCTGTGTATTTCAAGATTAGATTGTAATCTTATCTGCAAGTAAGCAGAGGTAGTCTGATTTAAATACTGTAAATCTTTAAGATGGAAGGCTTAACAAACTAATGTTTTGCTAATGAGACCAATAAATATGTATTTCTTAGAAGGTGGTGAGCTCCAGTCATAACCAGGCCAAGGGACAGCACTTGGTTATACTACATAACTGTTCTGTGATACTGGGCAAATTGCTTGTCCTCATTTACCACTTGTGGATCAGTGCAAATCAGCCTGAAGGAATCTGTCTCCTCAGCCTCAAATCTTAAAAGCCATGAAGTTTGTATTGCTCTTGGTTAGCAAGCTGTGGCTAGTGTATAAAACTCTATTAGGTTAATGTGTTAAAGTCACCAAATTGGTCTTGATGACAAACGAACTATAGCACCAGCAGTAGAAGTGCACTCCTCACTGGTTCCAAGCCCATTGTAAAAATAGAGAACTTAAAAGAATTTTTTGGGTCTAACACCGAAAGCTTCCAGAGTATCTTCAAAAAGTACTTTGGCAAGTGAAGCACTGACAGTTAATTTTTTATCTATTGCTCAGTGAAGAACACTGTAAAGCTGCCACAAGCTATACTGTCTTTCTAGACAGTACCTTTACTAATAGCTAGTAACTGTCTTTCTAGACAGTAACTTTACCAAGCTGCTTTTTGTGACTTATTGGAAAATTACCAGGCTACCTAATGAGAAAAATGTAATGGTATACAAGCTTTCTCATCACTCCTTGTCAGTCTGCTGTGCTTTCATTGCAGCTGACTTCAACAAGTAGATGAAAACCTGATCTAAGACAACTTCAGAAGATAAGAAATAAATGATAGCTGTCTTGGTTTCTGAAGATGGAAGTAGTCATTGTTTTTGGTCAGGTTTTATCTGATTTGTTGAAGTTTTGGAGAAAAGCAAACTTACCTATGTTGTAACCCACAGGACAGTACTCACTGCAAGGGGCATTAACTGACAGCTCATAGCCAGACACTTGGGTGGGTGATGTCCATGTGAATGGGGAATAGCTGTGCTTAACTTCCGTGTGACTGTTTCAGGGTTTTCCTCACCTGTTGTATTTTGTGAGTAAGACTGAAAGCAAGCTTGGGCTCTGAGGAATCCCAGCAGCTAGAGGACTGGAAACTGCTGTCAGGAGTGGGAACACAGTCGGCATGCCTTGAATGTCCCAACCGTATCTCAAGCTACCTTCTGGCTTTGCAGGTGTTTTGCAGAAGGGAACGGGGATGTTACCATGCCACAGTCCATTCCCCAAAGACTCTGGTTTGTGCAAAAGGGTGGAGGGGGAATCTCTGTCTCTGTAGCAGGATTATTTGACCTTATACACAGTAATCCCAGGCCTGCCTCCACTTGATCCCAATTTCGATGTCCTAGACAGCCTACAGACACAAGCAGCTACAGACATCACTACACTGGTTATAAATGATTCATTCACATCTAGCAACAATCCACATACTTTAATAAATGAAAATGAATGCAACTAGGCAATGCCAAAAGCTCAGGCTCTTGGGATGAATGGGTTGTGGAGCAGTGCAGATGTGTATGCTTGCCACAGGAGCCTGCGAGCCTTGCACCTGCCTCTCTGGTGGTGCTTGTGGTGTGGCATTTCAATCTGGCCTCTGTACGAACTTTATCGCTTGACGCACTCAGCTGAGAGCTGAGGGGCATATTTAAACAATGCAGGATGCCATAAAGCAACAAGTCAACAGATGAGAGCAACACAAGCCCTTTATTCTTTCTGGCTGTTGGAAAGCCCACTTGTGCAGTTGCCCAGACAGTGGTGACTCTAATTGTTCACTCAGCTGTGCTGAGAAGCCAGTGACTATGACTTCTGTTTGTCTGAAATGAGTTCATGTTTTTTTAGCATAGCTCTCTGACATCAGTGCAGATGGTGATTTCAGCAGGGATATAATAGCTATATAGGCAGAGGCAGTTCTTTCTCTGTTCATGCTTTGTGAATTAAATTCTCATATGAAAAGACTAAATAGTTCTGCATGGGTGGGCAAATATGCCTTCCTGGGGTCATGGTTGAAAGCTATATGATGCAGGAATACAACACCAGTAGCAGGAATATCACTGGAAATCCCCTATTGCTTCTCCGGCACATGTTCAATTTTTTTTCTCCCTTGTTACATAGCTTTCATGTTTAGGTTTGACCCAGATATCATAAGAAGCTAGAGGATTAATCAGAAATAAATTAGATCTGGTTGTGCAATGCTTAGGTCTTCCTATTCTATGGATTCAGACATCTGAATGAAGGTTGACTGCCAAAAAAAGTGCATATCCTGTCTCTCTGTCTGCCCTGCTGGTCTGGGCAGTTCTGTTGTGTTTTTTGAAACAGCAGTTAGGGAAGTCAAGGTTCCTTTTATTTCTAACCATGCAACAATTTCTATAAATAAGTTTAAAAATTATTGCAAGAAGAAAAAATGCATGTCTTGATGCAACCTTGACCTGTTGTTTCTGCTCTAATATCCTTGCAAATGCATTTTCAGTGTTTTTGTCCTTCCTCTTGCTGCCAACCTCCCCTTGTTGAGCTCTGCTACTGCAGGATTCCTTCCTTCATGTTAGGTATTTGGTAGTTAAAGACATCTCTGTAGGGATGTGAGACTTCAAAAATTTGAGTTAATTGCTTGCTTTGATATGATTATCCAAACAGGATATATATCCAATCTAAGAACTTCTGACATGCAATTGGAATCATATTTTCTCTCAAGCTTTCTCTGGAATCAAGTAATCCTGTCAGCCTGAAAGTTTGTATTAGTAGTAATGAGATTCTAATGTCAGGAACAGGACCAGACAGTAAAGAAGAATAACAGCAACAATTGGGATATGGATCCTGGGCACAAGACCTTAAACAATGAACTAAAACAGTTGGATATTAGCAGAAATTATTTGGCTTTGCAGTAGAGTCTAACAACATCATGATTGTGTGTAATGCCTTGAGTTCTGTATGTAGAACATTTTAGCTGCATGTCTGGTTTATGTATGTATTAAAATCAATTTATAGCAGCACATGCAGGCAAAATAAATCTGATTTTTCTCAAGCATGAAAGTTCTAATAAATATTTCACTGCATATCATACATGTATAAAAATGAAAAAAGACTAACTGTATGTGGTTAAAGATGGATGTCACTTTCCTGTGCAGTTCTGGAAACCAACTTAGGAGCAGTTTCCTGAGGTCTTCTGGGTTTTTTAGGGAGTTATTTTATCTATTAGCACGTGGCATTATGTAACTTCGTAAAATGTGCAGAAACTATGATTGTTCTTTGAAACTATGCTTATTATTTGACTCTGTAATTTTTATGTTGTTTTTTGGAAGAGGAAATACAAAGATGTTATAGTGGTTTTAAGTTATCTTGGTAAAATTGTGTGCGTACAATGAACTATAAAAAAAGTACACTTTGTACAATTTAGCTGCTGTAGGATAATATATAGGAAAGGCAGTTCTGCTGTGCATGCTTTGAATATATGCTCTTAAAAAGTGCAAGAAAGTTTTTAGATTTTACTTTTAAATAAAAAAGATGATAAATTAGTAATGCACATAGATTACTTTAATAATATTTAAAGCAAATATGATAAGTTACTATAAATCTGAGCAAACTGAAGGTGATTATGACCAAGAATTACTTAAAGGAATTTATAATTTATTCTGT